AAGAAAATCAAAACAAAAGAGCCGCGACTTTTCAAAGGAAGAAAACTAATGGACTACGAGTACAATTGCGCTGAACCTACGGAAAGTGCTGTGTGCTTTCTTCTCTTTGTTCTCAAAATCTTGAAAAAGACCTCAAAGATGATAAAAAAGCGGTGCATTTATGCAGTAGTTTACACGAGTTTTAAATATATTCTGTAAACCAATTGCAATTAATTTTCTTGTTGAGCGCAGAAACCGTCATGTTCCTGATGGCAACGAAAAAACATCGCCGGCATCATTGATAGTGCTAATGTACAGGATAAATGGTCATGTAATAAAAATAACTGAAAACGAGCACATGATTCAATGCTGAAGACTTATCATCGTTTTCAGAGTCCTATTACTGTTATGATGAAATAAAAGTAATTGTTTGTGACGCGAATTTGATTGAAAACTCAAAGCAACAAAGCAGGTTCTCGGATTCGAATGTAACCACATACATTGTAAGTTTTAGCTGAGTTGAAGCGCAATCTAAGATATTTTACAACGAAAATAAATACCATTCTTTAAATGTCTTCTTTTTCATCAGTGTTACATTTTTCCTAAAAGTTATTTTCTTTAGTTTGACTTGAATTCTGCTTACAATTGATAACCCACAGTTTGATAGATCGACGATTTTACAGAGTGTAACTGCCATTTCATCACAGCAGTATTCAAAATAGCTTCACAAGAACAACCGTCTTAACTTACCTTGAAAGTGTTCTTTTCCACACACAACGCTCTCGACTTACACTTTCTAGTGTAATTGAAATATTTTCTTGATTTTTTTAAAGCTTTTTTGAAGCGTAGGCAACAAGAAAACGATGGAAAGTAGTTGAGAAGTCACCAATGGCTTTGTGCACTTTGCGTCTTCTGTATACGCAAAGGTTTGGTTACGTCAGTTATGCAATCTTTGAGTTATGTAATCATGCAGATAAACGGGCGCGGTGGGAGCCCGCACAATTTGATCCAGAGTCCAGCAAGCTAACCAAAAGGGTTATGCGTGTCAGATTTCAGGCGAATGAAAAACGATAAGCTTAGAATTACCGCAGTTTTAACTGCGTATTCAAAGAAATCTAACATTGCTTTGCTTTGCTTTTACTTTACATCATTCTGTGATTATTTAAAATAACTAACGCCACAGACCAGGGGAGGTACCAAGTATAACTAAAATAGTCTACCTGTTCTTGTTTGAAGCTTCAGGCGGACCAGCCCTTCCTTGTAAGTCGCAAATTTTGCAGTTAATCAAGCACTGACCAAATTAGTGGCTGACCGACTCTAAAAAATCCTGCTAATTTCCAATTTTTTTTTTAGTTTGACATGGCTGCCATGACCCTTTTTTAAAGCTAACCCTTTGAGTTTGTATAGGTAAAAGAAAGGATTTTTCTTTTCAGGATAGTGTTAATTTTTCTGGATTGTAGAGTGAGTTTGCGCCTTTCGTCCAAAATCCCTCTTTCAGTCAATTAGACCTTTTCAAAACTGATTAAGTAAAAGTAGACCCTGTGTTTAGCGGAATTCTAAAGCAAAACACCATTTTTCTCTGTTTAGTCTACTGCAAGGCTCCAACCTCAATATTGCGTTCAAAAGGGTCTGCTTCACAAGCAAAATGAAGAAAATCAGTTTTTCCTGTTATGGCGTTTTGATATTGCGCCCCTATTGTTCACAATAATGCTTTCAATTTAAAACCACAAAGCATTTCCTTAGCTTCGTCTATCGTCTTCACTTAATCACCGGAAACGCAAACGGAAACGACAACATCGAACGCATTTTTCAACATTTTCAAAAGCCTCCATTTTCACTTGTTCATACAAAAAACGGAATAACTTATCAATAAAATTGATAAAGAAAAGCAACAAAAAAACGAAAAACAACAAAAATAACAATCTAAAAAAAGAGAAATGGTGCATTTTCAAAGACTTTACTTTTCAAACTGTTGTCGAAAGGATCCGTTTTCACGAGCGTTTCAGAGTTGATGGTAGGCAAAAACGCATCAAAAACCATGCCTTTCCGAATAAATCCGTGCGGATGGAGCCTAAAGTAAACATGCATTATTCGGGATCCTCGATTGTTCTATGTTTATCCACCAGTAACAGAGGATCGAAACACCATAATTGTTTGGAACATCCTCGCTTGGAACAACTGTATTTGAGGTCTGATTGATTATCTTAATAAGCAGTTAAAAGGACTGACGTCAACACTACCTCCGGGGCTAAGATCCGCTAATTGAACGCCATCATTCGCTTTTTAGCAAAGCATTTGTTTCTTAACAATATGCTTCCAACAGATAACAGCCTTATGAAAATAACTAATGAATAAATGCGTCAGATGCATAAAGCAGAAAATGGTGTGCAAAGCCCAGGACGGAAAACGAGCTGAAACTGATTTAAAATCGTAACACCACCTGCTACTGAAAGAGGCTAGCGCTGCATACAAAATAAAATAGGCCAAAAGATAAAGACATGAACACGATCATGTATCTAACAGGTTCAACAACTGTGACTGACTGTATGCCTAAATAAATAAACGAATGAGTAAATAAATAAGTTCGGATATTACAAGAGGTTCCACGAGCAGTTTACTTAGCCTTTTTAAAGTGGTCTCAATGAGGTGATGGCTTTGAAGGCCCACGGTTGACTTCCTTCCTTTCTTATTAAAAGAAACATTAATTTCTAAGGTTAGCTTTTTTCAAGACTACGTTAAACTGCGTCGATTTTACGCCTACCTCTTAAATCTTTTGGCTTTTCTATAGCTAACGATTACCCCATGGAGATTCTCTAGAGTGTGCCGTTCCCATGTCGGCAAATCGTGTGAAACTTTAGTAATTGATATTTCTTTAAAATGAAAAATGTCCCCTTACACCGGAACAATTTTTCGCATTCAGGGGAAACAAAGCATATTTTTTTCTACTCTCTAGGGGACTTAACGCTAAAGTTCAGCGAAAAGCTTGTGATGATCGATCAAAAAAATAAGGAGCTGTGAAAGTTAAAATTTCCTCTTGGGTAAATCTCACCGTTACACCTTAAACAAGATAATCCTTGTGCCATGATGATACTAAATGTGACGTATGGGCTTAATGGAACATGAAAAGCTAAAAAAAAAAAAAAGCGTTTAAATTTGCCACCGACGTGTTGTGCGCACGTGTCCTATACTGAACGATGTATTTCAGTTGATACGCGACTTCTGTTTGTTTTTCGAACCTTGATAGCGCTACCTATAAATATTTGTTTCTAGCAGTAAATTATAAATGTTAATTACATTTGAAAAACAAGTAAAATTTGAATAGATTTTTTGTTATTTCCGTTTTTAGCAATTTCAACTGTATTTACATTGACGTCAATAAATGCTAAATGTTAGTTAAGTAAAAGTACGTCCAAACAATGTACTGTTTAAATGCTACTGTAGGCCAAGAAAAATAAAACAAGAAGAAAAATGTATCGTAAACGCTTCTTACCACAAGATTATGTCTTTTGTTTTTACTCTATTTATGTGAGAATTTTAAGATAAGGGTACTGAAAGAAAATGTTTGCTAATTTTTTTTTTAACGAAGTGAGTCTCGTGAAAGGCTTGATCAAAGAAGATGCTGAAAAATGTAAAATTCAACGGATAAAAATATTTTTATGTGGATACTCATACAAAATTTTTTGGAATTCTATTATCTCTAAGTAGCTAACCTCCCTTTTATGATTCGATCTAAGCTATATTCGAAAGTGTACTTTCTGGAATATATTTTTTAGGGTAATGATAATTCAAGGCGTTATCACGGTATAAGGTGTTAGCGTTCTAGAAATTGCGTCATTCTTGCGGCAAAAAAATTGACAAATACACTTTTCCAGGTATTGATAGTTCAAAACGTTAGTGCAGTATGAGGTATAAGCCGTATGGAAATTACATTATTTTTGTAGAACCTGAATTGTAAACTGATCCTAGCTGACTTTTTTTGGGATCGTTTTAGATAAAAAAGAAATTAAAGGATATTTTTTTATGAAAGTGCATGTGAACGCGAAAGGTTTATAGTAATGAGCTTGTTTTATTAAAAAAAAAAGTGCTAAAAATAATCCTGATAACTGAGATAGGAATCGAGTTATTGAAATTCGGCGCGGCACATAACAATGGCCTACCCCAGTAGAGTATTCGCGACGCAAAAATGTTTTGATAAAATATAGCTAAGTAAAATATATAGTTCATAGCTGATTCGTGCTTAAAGTTTGATTTAAGTCCAAAATAAAAAAACCACGGTAACTGTTGAATTGCCCTTTATAGGGAACAAATTTGTTCGATTCGACATCACAGCTGGAACCGATCTGATCAAGAAAGCGAACGAAGCTAGCTACATACGTCGCATAAAGCGCAGAAAGTCACATACCCCAGTTTAAATTGTCATTGAGGGTTTGTGGTGGAGAAGTTTGTGTCAACGAATAGAAGAGCTATAAAATTAAAACCGAGCTAGTTTTATTGTATAATGTTAGAGAAACTTCTTGATAATGTAACCTATAAACAAGCGTACTCGCTTTCGTCAATACTCGTCACTCTACAAATGTGTGATCGGGTCATGGAGAGAAATACGCAAGAGAGAAATACGCAAGAACGTGAAAAAGACAAATACACGTACCTTCTTCTAGTTCCACAGTTAAAATTTCGAACACGTATGACCTCCTTATTGCGGGTGCATTCATCCCAATCATCTACATCAGGCGCACAAATTTTCACGCCACTGCAGCAGCTGAACGGAGATTGGTTCTCATTTGCGCAGGAGAATAATAAAAAATAAAACTCGACAAATCAAAGACACGGTTGATATCAACAATGCTGTGTGTTTATACCAGCATGATAGCCACCTCATTAGCGACAGAAAATTCTGAAAAAAAAAGATTGTTTTTTCGTAAACGCGACTTCGTCATATACCCCCCGTAGATGTTCTATTATTTTGCAACGGAACCTTCATATATTTTTCGTCCTTTGTTATAAACCAAAACAACGCTAGGTGGTTTTCAAAATTCATAATTCCCTTTTGTATTAGGTCGCCAGTTATGTCTTGTTTTACAGCTCATCCCCGATAAAACTGAACAGAATCGGCAGGGGTCAGATACCCTGTATATCGATTTTATGCCAATTTTATTTGTGTGATATTTAGAAAGAATAGCAGTCTCATTCCTCAACAAAAACTACTCAAAGCTATAAATATAATTCAATAATGTAAACGTGCTTGAGGAATATTTAATAAAAAAACCCGACTTCCTCTCAGCTGGGAATTATCGCAACGATCGACCTTCCAATAATTGTTGGAGTTAAGGAAAGTCCAGCGATCATTATGTTGTAATCATATGGAAAAACAGTCCAATGATAGTGATGATCAAATGCTGATACCTAAACGAGTCCAGCACGTGATCGCTATGATCAACTTATCCTTTTTTAAGTCAGTGTGCAATTCTAGGTATCATTTATTTTTTCTCACCCTGCTCGGAAGGGTTTGAATTATGAGACTAGGCATTGATAACGTAAATATGCATCGGAAGTTGTGCCAAAATGAGACGAGTATGTCAAGCTAAGGAGTAAAAGACGAGACATGGCTAACTACTTTTACTCGAGAAACTGTTTTCTGTAGGTTTTACATGCATACAATGTGTTTCAACCAAGATTTTTACTTGTTTTTTTTTTTTTATTTTTTTTATTTGATGCACCAAAATGACCTTTAAAGGCTCCTCGCATAATATGGCGAGAGACGCGAGTCCTTAAATCAGGGGTGGATCTTTGACCAGAATGTTGGTCTTAAGCTGGGTACATGCGTTGTGGAAGAAATTTTGCAAAAAGCAATGCTTTATAGCAATAAGTTGCAGGAGTAATGAAATTAAGTCGGATCAAGATTATATACATATGAACGATGAAATGACTTGTTTTACCAATTCAGTAACACACTAATCTAATTTAGGCAAAGCAGAACATTTCTTTGCAAATACAAGCTTTAAAACTTTGTTTCGCTGATCTGTGAAAGGAAAAAAAAAAGCGAAATTAACGCATGAGTTATGATAGCACTCTTTCGTTTATCATCATCATCATTATCGTCGTCGTCGTCGTTATCAAGGTGGCGATGACTATTATTATTAGTGTATAAATGCTATCATTACTATCCTCATAATCGTCATTCATCATTGTAAGCTTATCAATTAAATGATACAGATAGCGATAGACGGACGATGAAATTTTATAGGCTAGTAGCGGTAGCTGTTCTTTCGTTCATCTGCGATCAATCATTGCTTACAAAAATTCTCATGAAAAGAAATAGAATAGATGAAACATTTACAAGACAGAGGTAAATCAGTTAAAAGCAAGACTCAGATTTTCGTATTCGTCTCTTTCTTACCCAGCTTCAGTTTTGAGATTTGACAATCTGAGTTGTACCCTGTGAAGGTGTTTCCCGGAAAAGAAGAAAAACTTGCTGTACAAATGTTTTACAACTTGTCTTACGCATTCCAAAGGTGAGCCGGGTTTTAGGAAATGTCAGCTTAATTTTTATGAGCATGTTACCTCTGTGTCTTTTGGTGCAAAGCAGAAAACTAACTTACATTGTGAGGCGGGCTGGCATGTAGTCTGTTCTCTTCCCCAATGAACTCAGGGCTGGTATGTAGTCTGTTCTCTTCCCCAATGATCTCACGTGTAGGCTTATTTTCGTTAGTTCTACCTCCGTTCTTTTTATTCTTGATGACGTACTGCATGAATAAACAATTAATAAAGTAAATGAAGAAATAGATGAATTCCTGAATTGATATTTGCTTGACAAAAATATTTTTAAGTGTACCTGGTTATAAATCTACGGGCTACATATATCGAGGAGGCGAGAATGATCTATCTTTGAGCTGTAGAAATATATTGTTTGGCTTATATAAGCGATATATCACGGCTGTTACAACAAGTTCCGCGATGTATCGCTGATATATCGTCCCAACTGAAATATCGCTTAGATACCGCCAGTATATCGCGATAATCAGCGACTGTCGTTTGCATTATTTTTGCGCAGAATTGTTAAAGAGATAAAGGAGGTAAAGGAGAAAGAACTTAAAGAGAATGAGTAAAGGAAAGACGAAAAAATATGGAGGAGAGAGATAAAAGGGAAGGAGGAGGAAAGAGGAGATGAAGGAAGAAGTCGAGAAGAATATTTGAGCTATGAAGGAGGAGACGAAGATAAATAAGAGGCAGTAAAAAGACGTAGAGAAGGAGGGCATGGAGAACTGAGAGGAGGTGCAAGAGGGGAAGGGGAAGGGAAGCAGAGGGAAGAGGAGGGAAGAGGAAGGAGGAGGAAGGAGGAGGATGGCGGAGGAGGAGGATGGCGGAGGAGGAGGAGAAGAAAAAGGAGGATAAGTAGGCGAAGGAAGCAGAGGAGCAGGGTGAAGAGAAGAATATTTAATGAGAGAGGAAAGAGGAGAAGACAAGGAGTAGGAACAGATGATGTATAAAGTTATTTCTCACCACAATTACTGCTATTGAAACAATGATGGCCAAAATCCCACAGGCAATTCCAATGGCGATGTAAGTTCTTTCCAGTTCTGTGAACCCGGTTGGCTTAGGTGGGGCATCTTCACCCTTGGCCTCCACTTTTTCGATCTGTTAATAACGTGATATAAAGAAATGATAAAAGCCCGTATAAGTAGTTATCCTGGAAAGGCAATAGCAACAACAGCACTTTTTACCAAATAACTTAGTCAATGACCCTCTCAGGATCTTGATGAAACAAAAAAAGTCTTAAAAAGTCTGTAAATCACCCTCCTTTGGCTCGTGATTAAAGGCTTTTCCAGTCTTCTCTCGACATCACACTTGGGTTAGTAAGCGGGTAAATCGACAGAAAGAGCGGTCTTTTTTTTCATTTTCCTTATATTAAAACAGTAAGAATAATAACTTACCTTTCTCTGAAATAGCGGTCCAGCAAGTATTCCAAGATTATTATCAGTCAAATAACGAAGAGTCTCGTACGCTTTTATGGTTGCATTTTTATTGACTTCATCGTAGGCCCCGCCTGGCTTAATGATGTAAAACTTTGGTGACGCTTTGTCGACGTTGTTCTTCGGGGGACAGTTTTCGTCAAAATTGTTTATGTATATCTGCGAGACGTTGAGATGATGCCCATGATCATCCAGCACCAAATCGGCCATTTTCGTTTTGAAATATGTTTCTAAAAGACAAAACTCAGACCACGTGTATTTGAGATCCATTTGGATGTACACTGTAGGTAATGGCTTGGAAGCTCCTGCAAGGAAGAAGCGTTACAAAAGCTGAAAAACACCGACGTCATCTAGAGCAGCGGTGTAGTGGCAACAACGATAATAATAAGGAATTTTGACAAGAGAAAATAATTGAATAAGTTCCCTTACTTTCTCTCGATTTCGACTAATTTTATGAGAAGCTTACTCAATATTTTTGTCATTATGACAAAGTTTAATCTTACGTAAAAAACATAGATATCATAACTGACACTTAAAAAATCACTAAATGGATCCCACAAAAGTACACGTATAAATCGCAGAGAAACGAGGATGACCCGATTTATGATGGATTAATTCAGATCGCAAATAACATCGATGAAAATTTAAATGAAGTTTTTCCACAAAGCGCACTGAACCATGAAGTGAAACGGTTGGGGCGATAAATCAGTTTGGATCAGCTCTTCCAGGACAATCCAAAAAAATATTTTAATGTTGTCATTTCCTACTGTTTTATGTACCTAAATATTTCTTTTGCTTACCTTTTATAAGGGGTGGTGCGAGCACCAAAATACCGAACACCAAGATGAGATAAGTCATTTCTAATTGAAGCCTGTAATAACAATATTAATTTTAAAAAAATGAAAATAACACTTAAAATAACGATGACAATTATAGCACTGTTTCTATCAGTAATAAAGTAATGAATGGATTAAAAACACCTAAATAGAAACAAAAGGATGAATTAATGGTAATGTTAACCATGAAAGAAAGAAAAAAGCGATGCAAAGTTGTATTCGTATTGTTTTTACCATTGTTCTCATAACAGTGACCATGCCGATAATGTACGGTATAGACCATAAATGAGACTTCTTAGCTGCACTCGTTATCTTCAGAAAGCATACTCCTTTGGAATCGTTACAATGTATGAAGTGTACACTGTAGTTGTCAAAGATACAGGATTGATTAATTCAACACGCAGCGGGTATTCCACTAGCTATGCATTGCAGCAATAGTAAAAGAATGGCTGGTGGCGACACAGGCCTCTACGCTCATGCATTATAGATATTGAAATTTTAATTGAAGACTGTGCAGACAACAACAGTCATTTTGGTGACAATGACACTTCAGGTACTGATTATCATACAAATGAACCATGGAAACCAAAATATTTCAGGATGACTTCACAACTAAAGTATTACAACAAAGCTCTGATTTTGAAATCTGACAAACTGTACATATAACGTGTGAAAGAGCTACATTGATCTCGGCAGTACAACCTTGATTAATTCGAAATAAAACGTTGAAGAAACAGAAATTCAATATGGCTCAATGTCAATTATATTCTCTTACTAAGCCGAGTTATTTAAATCTGTAGTAAATGAACAAAATCCCAAATTTGGTAATTGATTTCTCGGTACAGTTATTAGTCAGGGTTTGGTTTGTCTGATGGTGGAAAATTTAAGAAAAATATAACTCTAAATAAATGTGGTGACATACAGACTTTGGCTTCAAGATTTTAATCTCAAATTTAGAACATTATTACTTCTTTTACGAATACGGGTGGTGTGTACTCTTCAGTCACGTTCGTTACATTCGAAATAATTGCGCAATATCGGTCAAGGTTAATCACAATTTTTTCCGTCACTGTTATCGGTGGGTTAAAAAAAAGCTTGTATTTAATGCCTAAAGAAACAGTGGCTAATTCCAAAATACTCCTAGATAAAACTTAATACTTGAGAACTTTGTTGGATTGCATATATCCCGCTAGTTGAGATCGAGTTTGACGAAAATAAGCATTGTTTTGCCGCCCGTCATTAGTATGGACAAATACAACTTCTCTCATAACCTTACATTTATAAGATGTGATGTCCCAACTAATCAGTGCAGAATGCACTTGAGGACAGAATCCTTCAAACAAACAAAGTTAATAGCTTTGAACTTTGCAGGAGATGTCTTTCTGACTGAAAAGATTGTGGTTCTAATCGAATTTTGTGGGCGTAGTTGCAACTAATTACTTGATCGAAATATTTGACAAACCTCTGAAGTTCAGTCGATCTATCGGGCCACTTTCTACCTCAGGCAAAACTTCACTCGGCGGGCAGCTGGGTGTATGAAGGATTTTAACCGTGGGAAGATGAGAGCTCCTTTTCAATGCGCACGTAAATTAATTCATATTCTCCAGATCACAATGGCAAGGTCAGAGATTACACCAATTGTTATGCAAAATTTATGCTCCAAATAGACAAACGCCAAAAGGCAATTTCAATTAATTCATTCCGTGGCCTTTTCAAAGCGTTTTTGCCCTCATATGGATTTTACGATATCAAATCGATAACAATTAACAGTACAGTGCTTATTAACCATTTCAACCCGGTAAGGATAGAATAAATGAACATTCTAGATCTTTTCTTATACCATAGCAAAACAATAATGTTCCATCAAGTCACGCTTCTGAGCACTGTCCTAGGCAAACTGTCACCAACCATGTGTGTTACGTGCACGTTAATATCTTCGTGATTATTCTTTCATCAGCTGAAATATATGTTTGTCTGAGGGACTTCTTTTCAAGAGCAGAAACCGCAAAGGCGTGATTACAATGAGCATTTTTAAAAGGAAATGCTCATTAGTTCGAAACGTATGACTGCGTTCTTAAACCTAGATTTATAATTAATACAAGCAGATAGTTTCACCAGCTCCTCAGAGGTCTTTTTTTAGTCCATTTCAAATCGACTTTCCTGACATAGCTCAATGTGTTACACTTTCCCCTCCTTTCCCTCCCTAAATAAATAGTTTTGAGTGGCCTTGACACAGGCCGGGGCAAATTTTAAATTTGCTACTAAATGTGAAGTCAACCAAAAATTCATGAACGTCAGGCGCTAATGAAGGGATGGTATGTACTATTGATATGCTTCGCTGTTGGTTTTTTTTTTTTTTAATTTTTGTCACTGTTTATTGATCAATTTGGTTACTTGTTCTTCTTTTTCTTTGCAAGCAAATGGGTGCAATAAGATGAACTGTAGGCATAAAGCTCCAACAAAGCTCCTTTTAATTCGCGTTCCTCATTTCGCAAGCGCCTCTTATTTAGCCAGCGGCTATTATTTCGCTCTATGAGCAATAAATACCAAGAAAAATGTATGTAGATAGGCTATTGAAAGCTGAACCAGTTATGGATTTCAATATACAAAAGCACTGACAAAGACTGTTTACAGAAATATTAATATTTCACTGATATCAAAATTTCAACGATGTTTAAATGACACCGAATTGCATTCCAATTTTTTTTATTCTCAGGTTGAGATAGTTGTAAGCAACAAAATAATAATAATAATAATAATAATAATAATAATAATAATAACAATGATATGTTAAACAGAACACAAAACGAAGCAAAGAAACAAAAAGGGAACCAAAATAATCGACTAAGCTCAAAGAGAAAAGGAAAGATAAAAAACAAAAACAAAAACAAAAACAAAAAAGCAAAAATACAACAAAACAACCAATCAGATGAACACAGCTCAAAATAAAAATAAATTAAAAAAAAAAAAAAGGAAATAAAAATAATTTAATTATCCCCCTAAATATTGCGTTGGGCAACTTTTTATGTTGCTATTAGAAAGCATCTCGAGCCCTAACAAAGGAAAATAATTCTTGTATGTCCCAATGAAATTTACGTAAATCTTTTCGTTCTTACTCTTTAGTTCTAAATCGCTCTTGGGTTCAATTATGCGACAGAAGGACCTTCGATTGCTCCCTAATTTAACAACAGAAAAGAATACTGATTTTTACCTAAACCTGTCGATTGTACGAAGGTAAATTTCTCTTGATAATTATATTTCTTCAAAATCATTAAAAAATGGGCTTAACAGATGCAACTTCTGTGATTTACTGGTAAGTTACGACTCGTACAAAGATGACAACAGCTTCAAGCAAAGCCCCAAATGCCTTGCTCGCAGAAGCGGTACGAATCAGTTAGATGTTCCATTGTCATTTAAAATATTCGTGTTAAAAGAATAACACCAGCTAAAAATAACGTGCCTTCATTCAACAAAGAGTAGAGAGTGTTTTGTTAAAGGATTACGTCATATTACTTGTTAAATACACTAAGTAAACTTTGTGACACTTTAAAGCTCGGAGAAATTAAAATGAAAAAATTCTTGACCGCAAAGCAAATTTAAAAGGTTAGTTTGGTCATTTAAAGATAGCTCAATACTGCAGTTTCAGTTGAAAACGTGACAGTGTATCGAAGAGCCCATCTGGTAAGAGAAGCAACTGTAGAAAAAGCTTCAAGGATTGAGCATGTTCATGAGCAGCGAACGGAGCTTTAATAGCAATTGCATCCTTTTTGTAGGTAGCATTGCCAATAAGCCCGTGACAAGCAGCTTTCCTGATCATGATACTGTGGAGTAAATACCCGTATTCCTTGCTGAAAAACTTACATGCGTTTACCCGCTTCCAACAAAGTTGATTTTTTAAAATTGCTTTCGCAATATTAGTGGCGGTACTGTTTACGTAAAACATCCATACTTATTTACAAAAAAAAATTGCCTTCTTGTACCCAAGTAATGAACAAATGTCTTCTCGTCCCCAGATAAGAATTAAACAACATTTTACAATAAATATTAAACATTTAAGATAAATTGTCACTCTCATACTATACCTCGCCTTTATACCTTTGGCCTTAATCCATTACATGTTTATCACGTATCCTTCAGTTGACTCTCGGGGCCGAGTGAGAGGGGCTGGAACGAGCATGAAAATTTTTCTTCCCATGACAGCGAGGTTTACTTAATCACGTCCTGATAATTTATGATACAAATTAAAAAGTCGATAAAAGTCATCCAGAACTCAAACACGTCATCTCAGCGCTTCCTTATGCTTTTTTTGTTTAGTTTTGTTTTTTGCCACTAAGAAAGGCACAGAAAAAAAGCCCCCCTCGCATTGAAAAAAATTCATCAAAAACCCAACAAAACATATTTAAAGTTTCTTTCAAATAGTTTATTAAAAAACTTTTAAAAGAAATAAAATAATTACTGTTGTATACCTCCTCGTTTCACATTAATGTGGAAACACATACTGCTATAATTTTTTGAGAAGCATCAGATTATGATGGTAATGATTAAAGGCATCTCAGAATGTTTTAATTTTGCAAAGACGCCAGACACTTTTGTCCAGTTGTTTTGAATGTGCTTTCCCCAAAAAATGTGTTCCTTTCATTGACAGGGAATGATCCTTTAAACAGAATCAATTTCACTAATTAGGAAATTGTCAATCAGAATACAATTTCGAATGTTTTTGTTATCGGTGAGGAAGTTTATCAGGTAAAATTTTGTAAGACTAACTTAACTACACCCAAGGGCCATATAGATGTTCGTTTGCTGCTTCCTCTAAGCAAAGCGAAATTGCAAAAGCTATATAGTTAACAGCCTAAAAAATAATACCTTGTGGAAGTTTATAGCTGAGTCAATATTGTGTGATCGAAAGTCTTACAACCCCACACACTGAATAAGCGAATAATTCAGGATAATTTTGTACCTGATTTTAAATTAGGATTGAAGGTGTTGTAGTGACATTGCAATGTTCTACCTAGTAAAATTATATCTTAAAAAGCTAAGTTTTTCGCGGGTTGACATAGTTATCGAAATTCTGGATCCACATGAGATCTAGACTGCTTTAGTCTGCTAGCAGTTTGAATCATGTTTTCTTTTTGATTCTTTACTTGAAACCATGCTCGGGATCAGAAGCTCTGTTTGGAATCTCCGTCACAGCCTTTTTAAGAAATAAAACCGGTTCGAAAATTCATTTTTCTCAAAGTAAGAAGCAAACCACTTAAAAAAATAGGAAAAAAACTGTAAACAAGGTTTAAATGTGTGACAAACGCGTAAACGAACGCATTACTAGCTAGGTACACTGTATGCTCAGCACTTGCAATTCCTCTGGACGTTTGATAGCAGTGGCTGATAGAAGCATATGACATCAGCCTGTCAGTAGCAGTATATCTAATTTGAGCCAAGCCCCAATACTAGCTGGAAAGCGGACCCATCCAAGACATGACAAAACCTGCTCATGCGAAGGAACGTTTTTCTGAAAAAATTAAATACATTCGCTACTAAGATAATATACTTAAAAATATATTGCGTTCCTTGAAGATAGTATTTGCAGAGAAAGATGATCATCAAAACGTCCTCAACTGACTATTTATCACAACTTATCTCTTGGCTAACTCCTTTTCCTTAAAAAATAGCCATGAGAATGTCTTCAAAATTTGGTTTCCTGAAAAATGAAAGACAATTCGTCGTAAGAACACATTGTCGTCGTCATTACCGCTATCGTCATTAATATTATCGTTAGGTTGGTGTCACAGTTACTGATGGAGGCGATTTTGATTTAGTATACGTATCCTCTATCCTTCTCCATTTGTCTGTTTCTTTGTTTAATGCTCATGTTTCCATCAGTCAATTCTTCTACAAAGACTGAAAAATAGGACTGGACACTATAGATTTTGGCTTCTAAGGTTTGTGGAGACGAAATTCCCTTGACTTCTGATTTCACGCGAGGGGAAGAAGGCTGTTGTAACCGGACGCAACAAAATGAGACAATTAGACCCAAGAGAATGTCGTGATTTTCAAAATTTTCCAAAAGTTAAATCAAATGAAATAGTTGAATGAACAAAGCAGTGAGGTGAAACTCAAGAGGGATATCGTGAAATGTTCGAGTTTTTTTTCTAAAAAATTAGAGTCCTTAAACTTTTTATTCTGAAGAAGCTGATATTTTTAAGACAAAACGGAGGATATAGATAGATATATGTTATAAGTGAAGAAGCCTTTAACGAGAAAGACGGATGACAGATAGCACAAACGTTTGTCTCTAGGATACGGCAACAAAATGGTTCACTGCTGGCAAAATATCTGCACTTTTATCTAAAGCCAATAAAGCAACCTGATGTTTAGATGTTTTTCTTTATTTACCTCGTCTTTCTCTTTCTTGTTATCAGGCTCCTCATCCGTTCCTTCAAAGGCCAAATTAATAGCACTCTGGGTGGGATCTTCATCTTTATGATCTGATTGGCCAAAGTCAGGTTTGGTTTCTTCGTCGTCTTCTCCTGAAGCCGGTTTGTCCGGTTTGTCGTCCTCTTCTTTTGCCGGCTCAGTTGGATTTTCGGCTGGCAGGGATTCAGTTTCGGTCTG